ATATGGGCAAATTTGAGCGTGCCTTGTACTGGTGCGAGAAGATGCTCATGCCAGGGTGGCAAGGCTGGGCACCCCCTCGGCACATCCCGCGTTTGATGCGAAATACCCGTACCTTGAAGCCTCCCAACAGTCTCCTCTTCCGTCTGCAGCACAAGTGGATAGAGATGCGTAAGATGGCAGCCTGGTCTGGAGACGTCTCTCGTGTGTTATCCACTGTCGAGGAGAAGTACCCACGTCTGCACCATGCTTTTACCACATCAGAGATTCAGTCGATGCCTACGGCATATGTCGTAAATGGTAAAGAGATTTCGCCTGGTGAACTCGACAAAGTACTTCAGAGTCTTTCTTACCATTCCCTACTGAAAGTTAAAGAGACTCTGCTCCGAGAGTTGCAGAAGGAGAGGAAGCGTGGGAGGAACCTTGGAGTAGCATCTGAGCCCCTGGAGGTCATCGACAACAAGACATGGAAGGAAATGCTACATAACAGAGTTCGACGGTATGCCGCTATATGGCATTCTCAACGAAACGCAAACTTTGAGCTGAACCAAGCGCTCAAGATTTCCAATGCATCAAGCGACGTCACAATCGAAGCGAAGGCAATGGGATCTGAGCAACCAGACGATCAGGTTGCCCGCCAACGCTTCAGCTATTGGAACGCGTTCTGGGATCGTTATGACCAGAGGTTTCACGGTGCGAAGCCGCAACCGAAGAAGCCATACTCGAAAGAGAATCATCATGGAAACAATACCTGGGCACACAAAGCAGAATCACGCCACAAACTGGCTAAGAAGCGGGCAGAGAAGTTGAGGAGGCAGATGTTTGATGATTGATCATGTATAACAGATTTATGTGTATAAAACCACAAGATTCTACTATTTTTGTATAATAGAAAATTCAAGCCATGACCAACATGTTGACCGTTTCAAGTACAAAGTATTACGAGCTTTTGGCCAGCTCTTTCACAACAATTACTAGAGAGTCGTATAAGTGTGTAGAGATTCAATTGACTATCTAAACCTTCTATGGCAGGTTTTGCCTGGTATCGAGATACACCAAACGCCTCAAAGCAATATAACTCCTGACCAGGTCCCTTTGATCCAATCCAATGATTAGACGGGGTAGAAAAAGAACGCCATCCAGGGCAATCGATACCCTCTATGATCCAATATACAGATATTTGGTTATAATAAGACCCTTTCAATGAGGGCACTTTATGTACGGTAGGCATGCTGAAACATGCAATTACTGAATAACTTTTGTCTAAGGAGACATGTCACCCCGGTTGGGTGTCTCTGGAGGTGATGGTTGCTTGACCCCGAGGGAACGCAAGCGCTGGGAAAGCAAACCTTCAGCACCACCAAGTGATCCAGACCTGTTAAGAGCGAAGGCATTGCCGCCGTACCCAGGTTCACCTTTGTTCAGCTTCTCGTAGAGTGCAGGTCCCGACGGTGAACCATCGGTCGAGTCCTTGGTCGAAGGACGACTGGCTTGGGATGAGCCAGGAGAGCGCATTTCGTTGCCGAGGGCGGCAGTTGTGCTTGTGCTGTTACTGACATCGCTGCTTGTTCGGACGCGCCCAGGAAGATAGAAAGGGATCGGGTCGAGTGGCAAGGTATTGCCCGCTGCAGAGCTGCCAGTAGAGGAATCATTGACCCGAAACATGTGCTCCATGGCATCGAAAGCATGAGACGTAGGGCCCGGGAAGATTCCTACACTACGTCTGCGAAGCGCGTTTTCAGCGGCTAGCATAGCTCCAGGACCAGAGTGTGTAGGCAGCGGAGGATGCATCAGACGAATGGGCTTGTAAGGAGTGTAGCGAGGCTCTGGCCATGTTGTTTCGTTTCTGAGTTTCTCCTTGCCGTCGGGTACACGGTTTGCAAAGACAATGCGAATGCTCTTGTAAAGATAGTACCGCCCTTTTGCAGGGCAGCAAATGTGGAGATGAGCGAGATATCTCAAGATAGGACGGTCACTGGTGTTTGCTTCGGATGCTGCAGGGGCGTTTTCAATAATGGGACCAGCCGAGTAGCTACGCTGTCTCACAAAAGTTTTGGTACCTGGTTCCATACCCGTCAGGTCATAAGGAATCAGGAACAGCTTGACAGCAGTCTTGTTCGGATTCTTGACAATGATTTGGATCTGCCCCTTCTCCGGAATACGATAGCTTCCGCCTGGAGGGGCTTTCGCAGAGCCAGAACCGGACCTGCGGCTGGCTCGAGAATTTCGGCGTGAAATTTGCTCAGATCCTTGATTATCAAGACCGATATCCATCATGTCTTCGATGGGTTTCCTGTCTGCAAATCGGCTTCGTGCTTTCTTCTTCGCCCGATGCTCATCATCGGGGTTAGGAAGACCGTTTTCAAGGTCAATCTGACCAACATAGGGACTCGGCCCGTCGTCCGTATTTGATCTACCATGAGAGGTGCTGCTGTAGCTGTAATACACAGCAGGAAATGAAAGAGTAACGTGTGGCGGGCACTTCAAACTGGACTTGCATTTTCCCTTGCCCAACACGCCGATCTGAGCGACAAAGTCCAGTGGCTTAGAAGGGGTCGTAGACATGCGACCACGAAGAATGCTCTCTTCATAAGATCCAACCATAGATGCGTGCTGAAGTGGCGAAGATTCTGCGACTAGAGAGGACCTTCGTGGTCGAAGAAGAGCGGGCGTTGGTGGAGATGCACCGGCCTGCATGAAGCTTGGAGTTGAAGTCAATGACCGTCGAGGTTGATGTGCCTGATATGGGAATGCTTCTCTGCGATACGAAGGGACACGCTGCGGGAGGGAATATCGTGGCGATGGGGACATCCACGGTGAGGAGGAGGCTGAGTTTGGCATGTAGCGACTGTTCCCAGTACATCCAAATCCATCTCTCGGTATAGACATGTCGTGTTCTTCTGAGCTCTGGGCCTGAACCAAAGGACTAGTAGGTGGCTTGTACACAAAGCTTGAGGAGAGAGATGAGGATAGAGGCGATGTAGTTGATCGGAAACTCTCTGCACTCCCTGTAAATGGTATTCCTTTATCGTGCTGGAACGGCGTGTAGTGTCTCGGTGGTGAAGTTGCAATCCATGAGCTCTCTGCTGGTGCAGGATATCTACTCCTCGGAGCCGCACGATCCTTAGCTACTGCTTCCTCCTCGGTGAAGTTACCGCTGTGTAGGGCCGATCTCGGTCGCTCGATGCTGAGGCCATCGCGTAATCTGTTGTCGAAATCGGATTGGGAGTCGTTCTTTTCGGGTGTGATTTGGGCAGGCGCAAGTAGTGAAGGTTCGAATGGCGATTGAGTTCGCTTCGTCTCGGGAGGAGGAGCGTGGTGCTGAATAATAGAGTCAAACTGCGAGAGACTGTTAGAATTTGGAGATATCACAACAAAGAAATGGAAGAACGCACATGACGGGTTGGGATCCAGGTCGGAGACTGAGCCCTCTTTAACCTCTCGATTAAAGAGGCTCGATCCGATATCCCATTTTCAGCACTATCGGTTCTCTCGGGACTGTTGGTGTTTGATTGTGGTGGACTCTCAAAGATAGGCCCTTCGCAAAGTTCGGTACGAATGCTCTCCTCCGAAAGGCGTCTAAGCGTCGGAGCTGGGGGTGGCACCTCGACTTCAATAGGTGGTGCTGGCTCAACAGATTCGTGATTGTCTAAATCGGCTTGAAAGATAGGCATGACGGCGATGTTGAATAGCTGTAACAGCAGCCGTACAGTTTCTTAGTAGAATCCGTCATGAATGAAGAAAGACGAAAGAGCCGAGAGGTGGTGTTATAAAAAGGTGATGGGTGATTCAACGCAGGGATTTTAGAGTTGCTGATATTGTCATCTAACGGGCGTGGTCAAGGTAGAGAAAGGGTCTGATTAATGAGCCGAGAGATGTGGATATTGGTGTATCATGCGACGAGGACGATTAGAGCAATAGTCAGGCACGGCGTGGGTCGAGAGAATGCGAATCTGAGCATGAGTATGGGGAATCTGGGATCGTATCGTGGGACGTCATCCACCGAATATGACGACAGTTACACTGACGATGGAGTGAGTCTTGGGCGGTCCCGTCTTCCCCCGGAAGAGCTAGAAAAGACAAAGAAGAGGAGATGGGCTTATAAGTAGACGAAATGAGTCGTTGACCTGCCGTGTTAAGAGAGAGAGGTCATATGTTTAAAGAGAGTCAGAGAGATGAGGCGGGCAGAAATCAACAGGGTCTGGGTCTAGGTTTAGGTCCGTCCGGGTACAAGCAGTTATGATACGACGTTAATTCTATCACCAACTGGGGCCGATGGCGGTGAATGTGTGAATCATTCCCTAGCACGTCTAACGCTAGAACAAAGACTAACAAGAGAGTCGTGTACCTTGATGTTTATAGATACCTTTAGAGAGAGGAGTTGTTTGTTTGAACGACACATTTTAGATCCCTTGTCATACTGAGTACTTAACGTAAGATAATATTCTACTGTAGCTACTATAGGTAGTCTGTCCATGTCTTGATATTCACATCTTGGCTTACAGCTCATGAGGTGGAGATACTGACAGCCCCCAGATATGCCACATCCAACTAACGACGTTTTTGGCTTGGTCTCTGATGAAGCATCTCAACTTATTGCTCACAAGGCACAGCAAAAAAAGAAACTTTTCACCCACGCTAATCTACAGTGCTCACGTCCCTTGCGGATACCTGACGTTTAGCGCCTGCTGGAAGGATCCCTGACATGCATTGGCTGTAACCGTGTGATGGGTGATGCAGAGTTGACGTGTAGAAACAGACGCAGTACCTTTGAGCATAACACTGAGACAAGCTGTGCTGTGCCTTGTTATTGCTGAGCTCCTTAGGAAGCTCAACAGTCCATGAACCAGCCAGTCACCCGATTTTAGGTAGTAAAAACTCTCTCTTGTGTGACCTGGCAATGCATCCTCAACCAGAAACAGTTATACCAGCATCTCCTCCATCAGCCCACTTACAAGTAGACCAATTATCTGTTGATGCCGTATTCGTTTGAGTCAGTTACACAACAAATAAACAAAACAGTCCAGTCCAGTCCAGTTCAGTCCAACAGTGCAAAGTCGTGTGAGCTCTGGTTAACTTTTGGTTGATCAGATTACGGCATAGCTGCTCCACCGAAACTCTCCGAAAACCGACCTAAAAATCACAAGTGCCGTTAGTTACGGTGTCGGTCGCGGTCAGCGTGAGACCCACTCCTTCACCGAAGACAGTGGAGACATTTCTCAATTCTCATCAACGACAATCCTCATACACTTACAAAACCACAATTATGGCTCCCAAGCATCAAAACGAAGGCGGCGATGCTGCTCCAGAGGCAAAGAAGCCCAAGCATGGCTTCAGAGTCGGCCCAGAGAATTTACCAGACGGTCCTTGGCGACGAAAAGGTTTGTCCTCTCTCCTATCTTACCTTTGAAAATTTTCATTCACTTCATATACTCACATTCAACCACAGTCACAAAGGTCAAGAAGGAGTTGATTCACAAGGCAAAGGTCAAGAAGGCTTATGCAAAGATCAAAGCTCGTGAACAACAAAATGCGCCAGCACCAAAGACGAGCGAGCCTGTCCAAGATGAGGCTCCTGTAGAAGACACCAGCGAGGAGAAGCAACCTGAGGAAGAGGGCGAAGAGATGCATCCCACACGACAGCTCATGCTTGCAGATGAAGCCAAGGCACAGGAGAACTCCGTCGGTGAGCCCACTAGTGATGGCAACAGACGGCGCACCAGACGACCAGGCTACTACGACAAGCAACTCGCCAAAGCAGCACAGCGCCAGGAGGAGGCTGAGATGAAGCGGCGGGAGTTTGAGCGCAGACAGGAAGAGAGGGCGCAGAAGATTGCTGAGAGGGAGAAGTTCAAGAAGGCCATGGCTAAGACGAGGGATCGTAATGGAAACAAGAAGCTTGGCAGGGAGAGTTCTTTATTGCTGGATAAGGTCAGGAAGCTTGTTGCTGAGAAGTGAAAGCCGATGTGAGGAACGGCTTAGCAAAGCATGAATTCTGCGTTGAGGGCGTTCAGAGGTTCTGTTATCGGGTTAGACAAAAGTTGACACAAGTTTGATACCATATGACCGCTATAATCGAATCAATCCAAGGTCAGATAATAACAAATTTCGAAGTGCTTTTCTTGGTTCTGGCGCGGTATGATACATGATAGAGAGGCCAGTGCAGAGGTCGCATCGGTATGAGGATGATCAGTACCTGCAGAAAGACCACGGTGAGGCCGTGTCAACGTTTCAAGCTGCATCATATTGATGTGATGGACATGTCACAAATATTTGGGTCCGATGGGTCTAGTCACAACAGGACAGTGTATCTTGTGAAAGGCATTGTATGTACCTACGAGCAGATCACCAAAACTGGGTGTAGGTTGTCTTGAAGTTTGCCTGCCAGTGAAACTGCGTGCCTGGAAGGCGAAATTTAGATGAGTTTGTGTCAAAGAACACTTCCGATCTTGATATATGCTTGCTGTTACTAGGTTGCCCCATGTAATATCAGCGGCCGACGATGATATCGAATTCTAAGTCGAACCACCAATGGTTGACCACGACTGGGTTTGTCGCAACTTGACAACGTCGAGTCCGTGTGAATCTCTCTTATTGGCTTTTGAAAACTCTTGGCCTTTATTTTGGTATCATTCTCACTTGTACAAAGTTTCGAAGGAAGACATGACGAGACACTTCCAAGTTCGAGATGCTTCATCCAAACTCTGTTCTATGCTCGTGCCTCCGCCATCAACAATTTGGAATACAATGGTACAGTCATCTAAAAGGGACTAGCTTGCGAGTATTTCCATATACAGCATATGTGAGCGGGCTGATGACTGTCACCATCAGTGACAGCTCCAGGTCTTGAAACAGTCAAGCCAGGAGCCCCTACAAACTTGGCGGTGACATAACGGAAAGTTACCCTTAGTTGTGTGTTAAAACCGAAAGCTTGTCGGTTTTAGCAGCATATATAAGTGATCATATGCCTATTCCTGCTTTGGTATGAACGTTACATCTGTCAGATCGAATATGGTGATCCGGTGTAAGTTACCGGCGCGCTTACCAGTGACGGATAGATCAAGGGGCTAACGTTATGTCGAAGCTGCCGCAGGGTACGACGACGATCAAACATGAAACTCTGTGTTATCGGCGAATGCAAGTATTTCTAAGCTACGTGGCTTTGTAATGAGATGACGGAGGTAGAGCGAAAAATGCTAGAATTGGAAAGAAGAGCGAAAAAGTGGCCCAAGAGTTGAAGAGTTGACAACTTGAAACAAGCGATGGTGATGGAGCGGGAGTTTCAAGATATGCCTCGTCAGCTGTCAAAGGAAGTGATCGGACCCAAGGAAGAGAAGATCAGTCAGACATGTCACATCAGAGTTGACTTGACTTGAGCTGGTGAACCCATCCATCACGAGGCTGTGTAATCTTGAGGGCTGCAAATGGAGGTTTCCGCAAGTAGTAATGGTAACGTTCAAGGCTGAGCGTGTAATGCTTATGCTTGTCAGCCGTGTATTCAAGGTTACTTTACTTTATTACTCTCACTGAACAAAGTGTCTCGTCTCATATGGGGAGATTGAAAGTTCCAGGGATGTGGTCGTGGTCGTGACATGCTCCAGTCACTATCAGGAGGACCCCTGCTCACGAAACCGATCCATGCAATCATGTCCACTCGACTATACCCCTTTCTAACACGTGCATCAAATACATTTCCAGGGTCGTGGGTTTCATGATGGAATTGGACAAAGGAGAGGCCGGCTTATGAAGGAACCCCCAAAATAGATACAAGTACAACATTAATATCAGCCAGCAAACAGAGCAAACAAAGGTCAACTAACGTTGTATTATGTTATGTTACTCTCTAAATGGAGAGCACACTCAACTCGCATGACTGACATTCATCCATATTCTACCGAGTGCAAGGGACTAAATCCTCTCATCCCATTACACGTTTCATGATTTGCGTTTCGTCAATGCCTTACGCAAAGGCTGAAAGGGAAAAATCACCCTGTCTGAAACAGCGGAGCTTTTTTATCACAACAACGCAACACGACACGACATGAGCTTTACCGTCTTTTTGCCATGTATGCGTACCCTTGCTTTACCCATTAATGAACAAAGACATACATATGCACTGAACCTAATTCAACGATATGGCTGCTTGCAGCTGCGTTGAGGTTAACGTCGTGTTTAAGCGGGTGTCCGTCTTGTGCAACACAACCCTAATATGCTGCTGTAGGGTTTGACGGTTGAATGAAGGAAGCTTTGGTCTTTTTGCCACCAGACTATCGTCTATGAAATTCACTTCATTCCATAGCTGCAGTGAAGGTCAGTGGATTGTGTCTCGGCAGCTCTCCCTAGCTCCACGATCCCTTCTCAGAGCTTGTATCCATACAGACTGTCCATATCGTGAATTCCATATCTGACAGAAGCAATGTCTCCCGTCGTCAGCGGTCTTTACTCTTGCAGGCGGGGTTCATGTCATCGGATCGACATTGCGGAGGAGGACAAGTTCGATCCATCATCCATACCCCCATGAATGTCCCATTACCAGCCGCGGCCGCCACAAGCGCCTCTTTTCTGCATTGGCTTTTCCGTGAACATCGCGTGCGTGAGTGTGAGTGTGCCTCTTGTTCCTTCAGCCAGAAAAGCTTGCTCTGTGTTCCCCCTGGGGCCTGGTTTGTTGCCCCTGGGTCTTTGCGTCTAGCGGCATACGCTAGCCAAGGCGTCTCTGCAGGTGGTGGGTGTTAGTTTGAAGACCGTCTTGAGGCTGGAGATGAGAGGGAGATTGAACGAATTTGAGGTGAGTTTTGGTGATGGGTGTAACTGTTAGAGACTGCCAATCATGCCCAGTTCTGTATATCCTCTGAACGGATAAAATACCATTGATGCCCAATAGTGAATCTGCATACCTTGTATGTATTCAGACTCAGCATGGTTGCTGGCTACCTTATACCTCGCATCTGCAGCATCACGGTCTGCGAGTATTAGAACGCCCCCTTATTCACCAAGACTCGAACTAATTCTCAGTCACTCAGACAAACGATCCGTAGTCATAGACAACGTATGCAATTCGTCAGCTCCCAATTACAAAAAAAAAAGACCCTGATCATGAGCCCTACAGTATCTTCCGACACCGCGGTTGCTGAGACGTGGGTCAATATCATTCCAAGAACATTCTTCCTGTTATAGCCGTCGTGAAGTGGCAGGCACAGCTTCGAACATATCGCATTTGCAGGAATTAGAATTCAACTTAGGCTGTAAAGCAGGTAAAATTAAAAATATCCAATCCAACCAGACCCAAGCATGTGAAGGCTGTGAACTTGTTTGTCGGAGGTTTATCAGATAACTTGGGTGAGACAAGCAACGTATTTGACGGCATATCGGCAAACAACACTCAATTCGAATCCTGTGTGAAGTTGCGTGTACATGCAGTATTAGAGATTAGCCCCTGATGTACTACCAATACCTGCTCTTCCAGCGTCAAAGCCCGACCGCTCAATTCTCTTTGACATTTCCTCTTGACAGATGGACATCCTTCATGGTGAGACGGGCTGGAGAACACTGGTCACAGCTACTAAACCCGCTCAGGCCTGGAACGGCTAACTAGGGGCCGTTTAGCGCGTTGGCCCAAGGTCCCCTCCCCTCCACGGGCGGGCTCTCCCCTTGAACATGAGCTGTAACCCCTCTCGCTGCCTTCTCTGTCCCTGCCAGGTTTAGTGGATGATCCCCTGGGCTGGTCCACTACCCACTGCCCAGGCTGCCCTGGGGCTGGGGACTCCCCTTCAGTGGCTGTTCATCCCATCCACATTGGGATCCCACCTCACTAGACGTCCGTCTCCATTCATTCCTCTCAGTCTCCTTGGGTGAACCAGGACCACGACATATCCGGATCAGATTGCTCTGCTGTCTCCTTCTTGCCTTCCATTTGTTGTGTCGTATTATCAATGTGCTGTACTTGACCTGTCCTGACCTGGAGTTTCGACGAAATCTCTTTGTCATCCCTTTCTGTTACGTCTTCTCTCTTCGCCGAATTCATCATCATCTTCATTGCTTCCATTGCCATCTTACACTTAGCTCATCAGCTCTGTCCGTTATACGCCGATCCAATCGAACAGGACACAGCCCTCCATACAACACAACGCCCATCATACATCGCTTAGCTTAGCCTCTCTCCCTCGTAGAGATTCATTCGCTTCTTTTTCCTCCTGCGTCGAATCTGCGAATACAACCTTCTGCATTGTTCATCTCCAACCTGGCCGACGTTCCTCTAGCGAATCCATCGTTAGAAGCCCCTGGTCCGTTTCTACACCCGGGCCCTTGTCCTCATCAAACCCTCCACACGCCCCCTGGCCTGGCTCCGTCGACTTCTCTCGCTGTCTGCTGGCTTGGGCTTGACCTTACCCTGACCTTTGCTGGGTTGTCCATTGCTTCCTGACTTTTTGAACCCCATTCAAAGTTCTTGTCAGTCGCCCTCATAGAAGGGGCACTACCGTGCGACAGCTATCAACAAAATATTGCTACCCGTTCCGATTCGACCGCCCGCCGACCGCCTCAACAACGTCCTTTTTACGTCGATTCTCCCACGAGTTCCTCCGCGATTCTTGGTCCAACCGACCCCTTTGCTCTCCGCTACGACATCGTCCATGACGCCTGCTCTTTAGCTGCGTCGTGTTGCTTGCTACCTTGGGCTGCAACAACCCCGTACTTGAATGCCGTATCCGCCGTGAGCACCACATTTCGATCGCTTCACCCCAAGTTCCAAGACAGATCTTTGCTGCTTCTCAACACAACTGCCCACAATGGCCGGCATCGTGGAGGATTACTTGGAGAGTCCTGGAATGGACAACGACACCGACGACGTCTTCCCCTGCAAAGGTTGCGGAGAGGTATGCTGTTCTACTCGACCTAAAGGACATTGGGGAATGGTTTGCTAACAGGTTTGGAAGATCCTCGAAGAAGGAAAAGCGTTCGAGTTAGGTACGTTACAATTTCCAGCATTAGCTGGTCTAGTGAGATGTGTCACTGTTATCCATGATGATCATCTGCGCCTCACCGCAAGATTGCAAATCATCCCGCCGTATGCTTGGGCAAGCTGACTTTTTGACAGCCGGTAACCGATGGCATCTGGACTGCTTTCGATGTAATACCTGTGGCACACTGCTCGACTCTGATGCGAACCTACTGCTTCTTGGAGATGGTTCACTCATCTGCAACAACTGCACATATAGCTGCAGCGCCTGCGGCAATAAGATTGAAGACCTAGCCATCCTGACTGGGGAGCAGGCGTTTTGTGCTACATGTTTCCGCTGTCGCAACTGCAAACGCAAAATCGAGAACCTACGATATGCCCGGACTTCACAAGGCATCTTCTGCATGGGCTGCCACGAAACGCTGATGGCACGAAGACGGAAAAAATCTAAAGCTGCAGCTGCAGCGAAAGCAAGAGAAAAAGAGCATTCACCTATGATCACGGAAAAGTCACTGCCCGCCCTTCCCGCCAACGCCATTCCACCGAATGCCTTTTCCAACGATCGGGTCGATCCTGATTCAGATACTGCTACAGAGCTTTCACCTCGTCCACGAAATCACGGTCGTAACGAGTCGTCATCTAGGAGCAGTTCCAGGCCAGCTCGTTCTCCTGAACGAAAGCCTGATGGTTTAAGTTTGCCTGCTACAACATATCGGAGCAACCGAAACTCAACCATGATGACCCGGAACGACAACGCTTCTAACGATGCCGATAGCTTCATGATTTCGGTTGCTTTAGACCCAAGCCCGCACCCAACGCCGAAATCAACCTCAGATAATCTACCAGAGTCAGGCAAGTCGAAGGACTATTTCAGCGCGGCAAAACCGGCGTCTGAGAAACGAAGCGACTCTCATACCTCTACACCACATATTGCTTTCCAGGAGAAAGGGCGTCAACCATCCTATTCGGAGCACGACGTTGCACCAAAGCTTCCTGATCGCAAGCACTCCAAGAACTCGCGAACTGATTCTAGTAAACGCTCACCCGCTACCGACGAGAAGAGCCAGAAGACAAGTGGTCGCCGCGCACCTACGGAGGACTTCAAATTACAGGAGGCTCCCAAGAGCAAGAAGCTTCTCTCAAGGAGTAGTTCACAGTCCTCGAGTTTACCTGCAGAGACGAACTCTGCGAGAACTAGCAACGGGCCTAGTAAGGGTGGCCTGCCACACACTGATAGCAACGCCACCACACCTGCGTCTCGCTCATCCCAAGAGTCGAGGTATATGGACGAGGACGAGCTTCGTGCATCTATGGACTCGTCAACAAGAACATCTTCGAGACCAGAGAACGCAAAGCCTCTTGCGCGAAAGGAAGTTCCAGCTGCCCCAGGGCGTAATGGTAAGTTTTCGCTTAAGCAGAAGTAAAACTGGTAGACTGACAAAAGGTAGTTAATGGCAACAATCGACAAAACCGACAAGATACCACTGATGACCCTACACCCACTCGCCAGACTCCCACTCAAAAGAAAACAACCGATTCTTACATGCAGCCTCGTTCAGCTCCCATCCCTCCAGCCTCTCAGAACAACAAGGGCCACCCTAGTGGCAAGGAGTCAAAGGACGACGGCACCTCACCCAAGGTCTCGCCAAAGTTACCTAGATGGAGCAGCGGCGGTGACTTTAGTATGGACGAGGACATGGCGCGTATCCTAGGTACAGACGAAGGCTCAACTTCCATCCTCCGCAGAGTTTCCAACGCTGTCAGACATGGGCGCACCAACAGCGTGGAGTCACCAAACCAGCTATCGAACAGAGCTGGTCATGCCAGAAGCATTAGCGAGACTACACGAGCGACACAGTCACCTCGCTGGCCACGAACACCAGTTGCCGACGACTATCATGCACAGGAGATCAGCAGTCCCATGTCTTTGGCGTCAGGTGACGATCCTGCGTTCCTTAAGCGGCAACTACGGAATTCGGAGCAGCGAGTTGCGGAGCTCGAGAGGCAGTTCACTACTGAGAAGGATCTCAAGAGCCTTAACAAGAAGCTGGTCGAAAAGCGAAAAACAGTTTCCGTTCTTGACACCCAGACTGAGATTATGATTCGACAGCTGGAGGTCTTGGCCGGATATGTCGAACGAGCAAAGGAGACCAAGACACCTATCGATCCCCGGGATCTTGAGGATTCAGCAATCAAGGAGTTTGTTCAGAAGCTTGACAAGGTCAAGCAGACCATGTCAGCCGCAATAGAGCAGCTACACGAAGAGCGGGATCTGTTGTTTGAAGAGAAGGATCAAGCTATCGCGGATCGAGACCGTGCCCTGCTTGAATTTGAGCAGTTGTCGTCGAAGAATGCACAGCTTGCTGATATGAATAACGATTTGACACACCAGATCCAGGAACGCTTCAAGTCACAGATTGGAGGAGATATCAAGTCTCCTGGCGGCCTGGGTATCTACGGACCAGGCAAGGGCGGCCTCAACAACTCTTCCCTTAACCTCGATGCCGCTAGTCTCTCAACGGGTGCTACTCTGGTTCCTGCTGATGAAGAGCCCATCGTCGAAGCCGGACCAACTGTGGTTCAGGTTCGAAAGGGTCAAGCCAAGAAGTTCAACTGGAAGAAGGGTTCCAAGGGATTGGCCCAAGGTGTGGCCAAGGGTGTCAATAGAGCTGTCGTCGCATTCCAGAACGACCGTGAGAGGATGCAGCAACAGGGCCAGCTGAGCGGAGAGAACATTGGAATGCCTTACAATATGACTGTGGCCCAAGTCGAAGCGCCTGCTGGGCCTCCTTCTAACGGCGTCAACTCGCATGACAAGCACAGTACAGCTGCAGCGCTAACCAAGAGACAAGAAGAGCGTGAGCGTGAACGACAAGGCTTTGGATTCTTCGGCAAGAAGAACGCCATGCCCAAGTCCGGCTCTGCAGGCACTATGAACAACGTTGACGCAGCTGAGCCTGCCACGGTTCTCTTTGGATCTGATCTCGCAGAGCGAGCCGACCATGAGCGCCGACAGATTCCTAGCGTGGTCACAAGATGTATCGAAGAGGTGGAACTAAGAGGAATGGACCAGGAGGGTATCTACCGAAAGACCGGTGGCAACTCTCAAGTCAATATGATCAAGGATGGCTTCAGTAAGGATGAGAACTTTGATATTTCAGATCCGGACCTGGATATCACTGCTGTTACCAGTGTGCTGAAGCAATACTTCCGCAAACTTCCTATCCCCTTGCTCACATTTGACGTGTATGAGCGAGTTCTCGAATCAAATGGTGAGTTTGTTCATGACTTTTCAGATAACGGACTGCTAACAGCCTACAGCTATTGTTGATGAAACGGAACGAAGCGATCACCTACGTAAGACGTTTGCTTCGATGCCTCAAAGGCATCGTGATTGTCTTGAATTCCTCATGTTCCATCTTGCACGCGTTGCTCAACGTGAACCTGAGAACTTGGTATGTTGCCTTCACTATTGCTCTCGTCTACAATCACTAACAGTTGGTTAGATGTCTCCCAAGAACTTAGCTGTTGTGTTTGCGCCTACCATCATGCGTGACACGAGCCTTGAGCGCGAGATGACGGACATGCACGCGAAGAACCTTGCGATACAGTTTGTCATTGAGAACAGTAACACGATCTTCGAGGATGCTTAGGGAGCTCGAGGTCTCTATACGGAAAGGGCTTATGAAGACTGTATCGACTTTTTAACGAGACCTCCAAGTCGTGGATTCTTGGGCTTCGCTCCCAACGAATGAACACGATCTAGGTTGTCATGAAAAGATTACTTGGGCACTGTTGGATTCTCAAGCTCCCAGGCTGGGTTCGCTTGCATGTGTCATCCAACCCACAGGGCGTTTTTTGTGCCAGGACATTTAATGATATCCAATTCTTTTTCTCTCACGCTTGTTTGCTTGTTTGCTTGCGTGCTTGCTTGGCTGTGGCTACTTCGGCAAATTTCTTGTGCATATGGTGATGGTGGTTTTGAGGATGGTTTATGGCAGGCAGGGAGGAGTATTGGTTATCTTTGTACGTTGATGAAAAGGGGTCAGAGGTTCTTTTCGGTAGGACGGCTCTTTATACTCTTCACGCTCTCTGACGAAAGTGATGGTTGTATCTCTTTCATGCCCTTGTTGATGCCAGTTTCGTCGGGTTTGTAACATATATCAACACCATATGATCCAAGATTATTGATCGTATATATTCCACGCAACTACCCCTACCTATCATGTTGAAGAGCGATGTCATACATGACTCAACTGCAGGAGAAGAGGGGAAGCAAGTATATCACTGTGTGTGTCGATGCGGCTCTTCATCTCGATGTTCCTGTCAAGGCGGCATGGTATGATGTATTTCTTTACAAGCTGAAATGGGCTACGATGACTCTATTTGCACCCGAAATCGCTCTGTATATGGCAGCAGATCAGTTACAACAGGCCTGGAACTTGAGTTCCAAACTCCGTTCTTTATAGGAAACTACTCCTACGGATCCAGAAGTTATAAACCCAGGAGACTTCAAGAGAGGGATAGCCCTTCTTGTGCAACGTCCATTCTATCACAATATGTTCCCCCTCAAACACATCCAGATTAGCCGCCTCCTACAAGGAAGGGCAGCTTGATATAGCTAGACTGGGCCACACCAAAACCTTGCAGAACATACTTTCATGATGTTTCGAGGGTATAAGAGATGCAGCTTCTTGAAGAAACCCCTGGGTCATCCTCTCGAGAGTGGATAGGTTGGTCTTGGATGCGAAACTTTGCAAGACCTCCAGCGCATGAAAGACTGCCCGATACCTGGGGAATCCACGATCAGGGCCTTGGGTAAAGCCAGAGCCAGGGCTGGAGCTGTGGCCTAGAGATATTCTACCATCTGGCTTCTTATATCACCCAGAGTTTGCACATATGCCTCTTGTACTATCAGAGCAGTCCCTTCATCGCTGGGATGCCATCTTGTCAACCTATCCCTTCCACAACCGCGAGACTTTTTGCAAAACAGCGAGTTCTGTCAAGGTGAATCATATCGCTTGGTATTTTGAGATGATAAGTCCCCAAGATGATGCTGGGCCTCAAGCTGGCCAAGATCTCTTCCTCGCTCAACTACCAGAGTTCAAACCAGTTCTCGACCCTACGCACAGAACCATGCCTTTCAGCGAAGGGAAACGAAACCTTGATATCAACTTCAGTGTATTCACAGAGAGTGAAGGCATCTTTGGTCTTTTGGGCTTCTTCCAGCAGTTCCCGTGGCTCGCTGGCCTTGCGCTGCTTCTGTCTGGCATCTATGGAGGCGTTCATCTGTCAGCATGGAACTGGACTTTCCCCAACTCTATCGAGCATTTGATGTGGAAGATAAGTTGTCTCTATATTGCGGGCGCGTTGGCGTTGTACTTTGTCATGGCAGTATTTGCTACAGCTGTAAGAACCGAAGGAACAGCGTGGCTAGTGACATACATCGCATTCTGGCTCGCCTTGTTTGTCCACATGGCTGCCAGACTTTATTTTGTGTTCGAGTCCTTCTTTAGCTGGAGGCGCTCTCTTGCTGGAGTTTATACATCACCGGCTTGAGTTCAGCTGTTTCCTCATTTCTAGTCCAATACATGTATCTATCTATATACCTCGTTGAAGTTGTACTAAATAAGCAATGGCCAATGTCTCGTGTATAAAATGTGCAAGTAATTACAAATAGCTAAATGTACAAACCGACAAGCAACCCGGGGCATTAAAAACATAGCAACTCGACTATTCAATAGCCATAACTCAAGAATGTGAAACCAAACACGTCGATTCTGCCGCCAGTGCATCATGGAAGTGAAACTTGACACCTTTTATGACTCGCCCCTGCTTTTGACATCGCCATTCCGTACCAATATGCCATACCATCCGCCCCTAATGAGATTCCGGCATCCAACGCCTGACCTATGAAATGTCCCCTGAACTCCAGCAGATGAAAGCCTAGTCACCGTGTTCCCTTCAGGCTGCAATTGTAGGAGTCTGCTCCCGCTGTCTCTTGACAATGTAGTAGGTAATCAAGCTCTTGGGGTCATCCTGAACATCCTTCAGGGCATTCCAGAAGACCTGCTCACCTACCCTTGAGTGAAGAGCAACGCAAAGCTGAACGGCGTCCATACGAACACCAGAGTCTGTAGAAACAAGGCATCGACCGGCAAGACTGGCCAGCTGACCAAGTTCAGTATCAGTAGGGACGAAGTTGGGTCTCTTGTCAAGCAGGCTTCGCAACACGTGCATTCCGGTGCTGAGCATACGGCTTCCCTCAGGAGTAGAGCTGTCAACGTTTTGAAGACGATTTGTTAGGACAACAACAATCTCAGAGCCATCACCAATGGTGACGAGTTCATCAGCCAAGACCTCAACGCCACTGACAATATGAGCACGGATATCATAAGCACTGCGTGTCTCAAGGAGCGATTCAAGACCCCTGGACACATGAGGCTGGAAGTTGTCACGTTCCTTTCGGAGGAGTAGCCTGATTGTAGCAAGGATTTGGGCTTTGATATCCTGAGCCTTTTCGGTGCTTACTCCGGACAGAGGATCCTCCAGGTATTGGAAGAGTCCAATCAACAGAGCCTCAAACTTATCATCAGTGAAGATGCCCTTGGTATCACGCAAAAGAGACTGCAACTTTCGGAATCCATGAACGTCAAGAGTCTTTGCCTTGACTCTGGTGATACCGCTTTCAAGCAGTCGTGAGCTCTGCTTTGTTCTCTCAGAGGATTCTACGTCTTGCGTCACGGGGGATTGAGCACGGGCATTGGGCAGGTTGGCCGCATCAGCGTTGACGGGTTTGTCTTCCAGCACAGGAACGTTAAAGGTCGGCTTTGGAGAAGGCTGCTCATCAGTGAACGGGTCTTCATACACTTGCAGTGTCGAACCAGGCGCTCCTGAAACAGGTTCGGCCTGCATGGTTTCCGACGGCTGGGGTGTAGGCTCAACCACAGGCTCCGAGACGGCCACGGGAGGTTCAGCAACCTCCTCCATAGGTTGATCGGCGGACTGGGTCTCGGCTTCAGCCGCTGGTTCAGGGGCCGTCTCTGGCTCTGAGACTGGCGCAGCCTCTTTAATAGCTTCTGGGACAATATGTGGTGAATCCTCAAGCACAGGAGTGGTTAATTCTGAGGGAATCTCTTGGTTAGCCTGAGGAGCCCTCTGATGAGGCTCTGGTGCAGGCTTCTGCATGGCCCTCAAATTAGCCATATTTGGAACAACAAGAGTAAAGTCCTCATTTGCTCTGGAGGGGCTGCTCATAGGCAGCATGGCAGATTGTGATTGCTTCAACTTTGTAGGACTTGTGCGAGGTGAAGCCGCGGGCTTGGTGCCTGACCTCACGGACGTAGGTGACGCAAGACTGGATTCACTAGCATGTGAAGCATGTCCAGGTCGTGGTCGAGGAGCAGTTCTCTTAGGTGTGGTCTCTCGGGGTTTGGGTGTCTTGGACCTGATACTTTCAGGACTCCCAGCATCCATGTCACGCACGGAGTAGGGGCCTGCCGTCGCAGGACGCGCTGCCATTTCCGGCCGCCTCCTTGCTGGCCGCATCGGAGCACCTGACATGCCGCCAGTTTCTGGACGAGTTCGGGTTCCTGATGGTTTGCTTGCTGCAGTTGCTGTGCTGGAAGTGGTTGTTTTCACGGGCGAAAGATGAGCCATTGCTGAGCCTGGTCGAGCTGGGAGGTTCTTTGCTGCGTTTGCCTTTCTTTGAGCCATCATAGCCTCTCGAATACTTGGCTTGCTTGTGCCCATTGTGCTCTTGGATAATCCCAATCCAGGTCGTGCAGCCGTCTCTCCCTTCTTAGGCGAATGAGGGTTGCTAGGGTCCTTGTTCAAGAGCTTCTGGGCAGTGCCGTCCAGATCGGTCATGATGCTAATTCGTGTTAGCCATAAATATGACAGAATCGGGAGCAAAGTCAACTTACGCATCTGCTTTTGCAGGCCAGATTCCCCAGAAGGCCCAATACGTTGATCGCATTTTCTCTCTTACAGCAGGGTTAGCATCAGTCAGGCCCTTCTTGATGCACTTCTCGATTAACTCCACACCACCTGTATGCTCGATATGATGCTTGTGCTGGGCCTCTTTCTTTAGAATGGTCTTGAGCCACCCTGTAGCATAAGTTCTCGGTGCAACGTTCTTGTCCTGGCAAGCCATCCAGATGTGCTGCATCAAGCGTGGAGTGTACGAAACCTTGCTCAGAATCGTATCAACCGTCACGTTGGCAAGCTGAGAGCTGATTTTCTTGGTTCCTGCAGCGAGCTTGACAAAGCATTGCATCAGCAGTTCAACCATGGGGTCCATTGCAGGACCAAACGTATTAGCCATTTCCTGGATAAGAGCACAACCCTCTTTGCAGAGACTGGTTCTCAAAGAGGTAATCGCCTTGATGATACCATCCAACATGCTCTTAACCCCAACAAGGAAGGTATCTGGGAAGTCAGACGGAACATTGCCCACGTTGAGTCGCCGCAGTTTATTGACGGAATTTTCTCGCTTCAGCCAATTCTGTTCCGACTCTTTACCCTCGAAAAACCACGCCATTTCCTTAAAAATGTCGTCCAGCTCGCGGTTTGTGTTGACGTACAGTGGCTCGAGAGTTTCTGGCTTAGTCTCGATTCCAGGAGTGATAGGACGCTCGGCTGCTGCTACTGATGAGGTACTGGCCGAAAGAGCTGGACGAGGTGCTGGGGCGGCGGCTTCGGCGGCGGGAGTCTCGGGGCGACCAGACGTCGGGGCGAGCTCCTTGACGATAGCTTGCTCAATTGCAGGTCGTACTTTGAAGTTCTTGAGTTGTCGCTTAAGATCGGATTTGGCAGCATTTGGCGCAGATCGGAAAAGTTCAATGACTGTGTTTTTGGCCGCATCTCGTACCATGCCATCGGCGTCCTCGAGAAGTTCCATGAGTACAGGGACGTAACCTCGGAATGGCAGGCCGTTCTCTTTGTGCATCTGTACTCCGTTAGCACACCCGATTGAGCGCAGCAGGTGTGGTTGTACTTACCTGTAGTAGCCAACTCATGGAGGTTTCCTTTGCTCTGGGATTCTTCCCGTTCATAGCTGAGTTTCGAACAAAACGTTCGACATCTGCCGGCGCAACGGCATATAGAGTAACGAGTGAGTGCGAAGCAAGAGAACGGAACTTGTCTTTGTGGTCGCCGAGCTTTTCGACGACAATTGGCAAAGTTCGCGCGGCTTCTTTAGATAAGAGCTTGGGGTCTTGTCGAGAGAGGCGCGTGAGGAGATGATTCAGGGCAGTGAAACCAGCGTTTACCAGAGCGGCATGCTGCGAGGTAGTAGCTGCGCGCAAACCATCGAAAAGCTGAGAGACACTAGATTCAGGGACATTGTGTTGTTTAATGCCCGATTTGATGATTGTGACATATTGGACCTTCGAGTCAAGACTTCCGTCGCCGCGCAGGATGGTGTTCAGGTCAGCGACCTGCTGGTCGGTGAGTTTTGTGTCGGCCATGAGTGTTTCTATGACGAATCTGTAAAGCAAAACGCTATTAGTCGCGATCAGGATAAAGATTCAATGAGGGGTTGAGTGAGACGCGCAGGCCACGCGAAGTGGGATAAAGTAGCTCTCCCCTCTTCTGAAGGGTATCATGGTGATGCGCTGGCCATGGTGTTGTCCGGAAATTAAACAAGGGGGGTCGGAAGCGCAAATACACATACCTGTGACTAATTGCGAGACAGTCCGTAGGCGACAGAGCGAAACAAGAAGAATCGCTTTAGTTGAGAGTGCGCATTGAGAGCGTGAGAGAGCTCTTTTTTAGTTGTTGTTGTTTGTTATGTTGATGTTATGGTTGTGGCACTAAGGATGAAGATGGGTATCCAATTTGTGTAGGTAGGTAGGTAGGTACTGTGGCCAATAGCACGGGCTGACAGAGCTGGCTCACCCCCCGATGATTGCTGTAATCTGCTGCCGAGTCCAGAAATGAATCCCAAACACTGTATTCGAATAGGACCATTGGCACCTGAAGCGTCCTCTATATAGAGAGTGATACCGAATATGCTTCCAGTTACAGTTTTTCTTAAGTGCAGTATATTTTCTTACTTAGAACTATCTATTTCTTATGGTTTCGCTGTTATCATAAATGGTTGGGTGTCAATGTCAATGTCGGGCGCAGCAGGTGCGAAGAAAAACAATCTGCCCGAACAAGGTTGCCGCAGTTGCCCCGGCGAAGAATGTGAGAGATGTCCCGCCAAGCTTTGCTGCAACTGCCTAAAAAGCTACTCCACTGTGTTGCACGGAGCTTCGCGGGGCCTTCCAGAGCTTTAGCCACTAATTTAATACCCCTGTTCAATTCTACTGAGGGGTCATCTCAGTCATGATACAACCTCATCATTGATTGTTTTACCTTGCCCATGATATCTCAGTAACACGCATGAGCCGTTCTCGTCCTCTTCTCACAGGCTCGATTATGTGATTTTTTGTGATCACATAAAGTTGCCGTTTTCATCTTCACTCAGCAAGCCTCCATTTCTAACCTAATCTAACCCCTCCGTTACATTCCATCCTCATCTAACTTCAACATCTCGCCAAACTCCAACCCCTAACATCAAAATCGTGGTTCGCCCGTCTTAAACCCTCTCCCTGATTCACCACCACGCACTTATATATGCCTCATCTTCCCCCAGTCACTCCCATTCCAACCCCCGCCTCAATCTTCTCCCCGGCCCCGATCATGACACCGGCGATCCAAGTACCCACTCCCTCCGGCCCACGGAATGGCCCCGATATTCCCGGCGCCGGCAAGTTCAAGGTCCCCAAGCTACGCCTTGAGTGTCGCGACCTCTCTCACCCCGGGGCTGCGGTTTTTCTTAGCTCTGTCAATGCCGCGGAATGCCTCGCCAAGGCGGCCCAGCATGTACTGGCGCTTCTGTATGAATCGCCCACGTGTCCTACCACAACAATCCCGACGACACGATCTGTGACGGTGATCCTGCGTAGCATGTCAGGTGTAGCTTACACCACTGGCTCTGACCTGGACAGCGATCATAAGGAGATTCACTTCTCAGTCGAGTATATTGCCAACATCCACCCCATATCTCGTCGTACAGAAGAAATCAACGGTGTGCTCACTCATGAGCTCGTTCACTGCCTTCAGTACAACGGCCATGGAACTTGTCCAGGCGGTCTGATTGAAGGCATCGCAGACTGGGTGCGACTTCACTGCCTTCTCAGTCCTCCTCACTGGAAACGCGACAGCAATGGAAAGTGGGACGCTGGCTATCAGCAAACGGCCTATTTCCTGGACTACTTGGAGGAGCGGTTTGGAAAGGGAACTATTCGCCGCCTGAATGAGAAGTTACGGATTCAGAGATATGAAGAGAAGCCGTTCTGGACCGAACTGGTTGGGCGGCCGGTTGAGCAACTCTGGGGCGATTACAAAGAGAAGCTTGAGTCGTAGTATATATACAGATACACATTGGATATAGGCGTCGACAGTGATTCACGGATGCATATAAGGCGTTCACCTACGATAGCAAGCAGAGTTAGATAAGTCGATAGATTTTGTTAAAGAAACGAGATTAGCCAGGTGCTAAGGATATAAGTTTGCTACCGCAACCTGAACTCCAACTCCAGACAAAAACAAAACCCAAGAATTCAGACCCTAAACGTCTGTATACGTCTGTTATATAACTCTCAAAACAAAATCGTGCTCCTACACTGGCTTTCCTACCTATATTCCGACTTGGTAATTTTACAACTCCCACATGACAGAGTTTATTGGTGTACAGGAATGTGGGCGTCGCTCTCGCTGATGACGCTGCCGACCTCAGACCAGCTAGCGGGTGTAGCCATGCCAGAGCTCTCGCTCATGACATCGAAGTAGCGACCAGTCTCACCCTCACGAGATGATTGCGCATCGTTAGCAATATCATCTCCGGAACCGACGAGAGATACAGAGTCGGTGGGTGTCACCATGCCGTCGTCGCTGATGATTTCAGGCTCGGACATGGGGGCGCTGGGGGTAACGGGAAGAGGAGAGTAAAACTCGGGGCTGGTGTTTTGCGCCCAGGCCTGAATTGAGGAATAAGCCTCGTCGCGGTCCTCTTGTCCGGCGGTCATGTACTCGTCGACACCGATTTCACGCTCAAGGGTGGCGGAAGAAGCTGTCTCAGAAAGGGCGGGGGTGGGGTCAGTGTCGATAAGAGCAGCGGGCTTCTCATCTCGGTCCTGGGTAGTGGCGCTGTAGATGTCGGAAATTTCGTCTTGGGCGGGAGAAAGATGGCGGCTTTGCTCAATATCGTCGTTCAGTTCGTCTTGATCAATGTTGTGTTCGTCGGCAAAAGGGTTGGTGTAGAGAGAAGAGAAGCCGCGAGAACCGTCGCCACGACGTCGCAGACCGTCATCCATTGCGCGGGTATCAGCTCCAGTGTTAAAGACATAAGCGCCTCGTTCAGCACCCTCATCCTGACGAAGGAAGTCATCAAACGAAGAGCCTCGTCGTGATGAATCCATGGTCGCAGGGTTTTTCTCGTCGGTTTCCTTGCCCTTTTGTTCCTTCTCTTGCTTCTCTAGCATGACCGAGTTCCAATAAAGCAGCTCCTCACGTTGTCGTCGGCGAGTTTCTTCATCAGCGTCAACACCAGCTTCGGCACCAGCACCACGACGGGACTCGAAGAAGCCATCGGCATCCTCAGGTCTATTAAACCTGGGCTCACGGTGGGGAGGTTCGATGCCTTCGCCCATAGAGTGGAGGGCGAAAGCTATTCTCCGGCGAACATCGTCGGCGTATCGTCGCACTTCTGGCGACTCGAAAATGGCAATAGTGGTGGCGATAGCGACCGAAACGGCGACTACGGCACCTGATGCCAGGACAACATGGTTAGGCATTGTTTCTCAAGTCTGCAGAGAGACTGCAGATGTAGGAGAGAAAGAGAAAGAGAAAGAGAGGTGTGTGAATGGATGTGATGTGATGTGATGTAAAGTGGAGTGGAGTGGGAGCTGTCAAGCGAGCAAACAGAAAGAAGACAACAAATCTCCTCTTTTCACGAGACACAAAACACAAAATGCAAAAGAGAGCTTTCCAGAAACTCGAGTGATAAAGTAAAAAGCAGAAACAACGAATAAATTGGAGGAAGTTGGAGGCAAATCAAGGGGAAGTTTGAGCTTGCGTAGGCCTCGTGCTGCTTCTGGCATCTGTATTTGCCACAGGCAGCCTCGGGGACTAGAACTGGCTGTGGCTCAGGCGACACTCTTTTGGCCTCAGCTCAGGCAGACACATGCGAGACGTGCACTATGATTCGCAAGCTTGGACGCGGGGTAATCAACATCCATGGGCTTGGCCTGAATGAGCAGTAAAGATGATGAATACAGAGATGATAATCAATGGAAGCGAAATTGGTGGATAAATCATGGGGATCATGGAGTGTGGCGCTGTGAATTGATTGATTTGCATACCTGTAGCCACCAGAGGATGAGGCATCGTCTCTCAAAAAGCGACAGAAATAATCGAGCACGTCGTACGTCAGTTAGTAGATTGCAGATCCAGCAGCTACACAAACAACGAGTGAAAGTGACAGTGGAATACAAAGAAAGGAGCTTGGGGTAGGCTCAGAAGAACAAGTAGAAGGGGTAGAAGAGAAATCGGCGTAAGAGGCGGGATAGGGAGCATTTAAACAAACCTATTAAGTTCAGTATCAATCAATTGTGATAGCGACGGCGACTACGACTACGACTCAGATTCGGACTTACTCGCACATTCTGTCCAGCTGAGAAGTGGAAGAAGTGGGCTGTGCTTATGATTCTTAGACTTTGACAGCCAAGTAACACCAAAGTATAACAATAGAATTGTTTCAGATAACAATTCTTTCTTCTGATTTCATCTCTATATATCATCAACTCTTCTTTATCTGGTCAGATCAGAATCAACATCAATTGCTCAATCGACGCTTGCGGATGGCGCGTGACGTGATGCGATGTGATGGGTGATATGCATTACAGCACCGACTAACAAGCGACCTACCATCACGCGCTTGGCTTGGCTGCACTCAAATGGAAGAAGAGAAGACTAGACATTTCGAGAAATCTTGCCTATTCTGTTCTACTGTTGACACACCAAAGTCAGTTCGCGATAAGCGTCAAAGAACAAGCCCCTGAAACTCTGCTGCCTTTGAAACGTCATTGTATTCGTGGTTAGTGCTGGATGCAAAGTATAGTAAGACGAGCCTATTACGAGTACGTGAGATTGTCCGTCTCTTATATGGACTCGTGGTAATTTGCTTGCGCGGCACCGATTGTCGGGACTTATTGCCTGTTGCTCGAGTCAGCCTGGCTCCGTTAACAGAGCCGAGCATGGTTCATCGGTTTCGGTCTGTTAGCCAGGTACGATATGACGACGCCTGGCGGGATCTTGTCGTACATGGCGTACGACTCTGGCTTTTCCCCTCAATCCTTCATTGAGCCAAAAATGTGCACGGCATTATAATGGCTAAGGGAGAAATAGCTCTAACTGTGTAGGTAAGTGAGATGAGACAATAGTTTATATATCCGAAGCTACCGGTTCAAATACTTGGTCTCTGTTGAAGCTGACGGCCCGGCCGAGTCTTCCGATCCAATCTGACGGACGTCGCATCTCACGGGCTTCCGACCGACCTCGATCGCCTTCAGCCGCCGGAACCCAAAGCCACCGACCTCCGACTCATCATCACTAGAGCCGCGTCTTGTCCGAAATCCGCTGTGGATAAGCACAACTCACTGATTCGGTCTATTGCTCCTGATCCCAGCGGCAAAAGAGGATCGATCCTGAGACGGTGGAGTAGTTTTGATCCATCCAGGTGAAAAGGCGAGACACCGAGCGAGAAACGGGGTCGGGTCCCCGTTTCTTTTTGCAGTGACCGAGTGCGACTTGGAAAAACCTTGGCATTCGGGATCTTGCAGATGAACCTGACAATTTGAATGTCTGTTTGTCATTTGATTGCTCTCACTGGGTGAAATGCCTGGCTGCCCAGAGATGAGAATGTTCCATGTCTTGGTATGGAGATGCGACCAAGCTATACGTTCATGACCTTCACGTTCACCTTCAGCGATGCACATTGAATAGTAGAGTAACAGTAAAAAGATTGTTTGATTCATGGAGACGCCAAATGTCCCTGTATAACCGTCGCTAATGCCAGATAATTGTGGTATAATAAACTCCCCCATTTTGATTGTTCGTTCTGGTCACCGTTGATCCTCTTTATGTTTTGAGGTATATCGAGGCGCCATTATCCCATACACATTTTAGTGGGAAGACTTCTCAGTCTTGGTAGACTCGTTTGAGGAGACAGAGTCGGTAGAGTTCTGGCGAGAAGCCTTGGTGCGCTCGCTGAGGGATGGTTAGTACTTTGCTTGAGGCTGAAGTCAAAGCAAGAGGGTATAACATACTAGTGAGCGCGGTCCTGAAGGACACATTGGTAACGGGCATTGCCAGTCTTGAAGGTGAACTTGATGCCCTTGTTCTCACCGAAGTGGGAAGGGGTCTGGGGAGTGACGGAGTCAGACATTGTGAGTATGGTGGTGGTTTTGGTTTTGTTTGTGTGTAAGTGAAGGAGATGGACAGTGGAAAAGTGAGATAGAGGAGAGTAAAGGTAGGTTCAGAGAAAGAGGCCGAGGTGCCCTAATATACCTTTCGCGATTGAAGATACGTATCTCGTCATCTCCACGATGTGCCTTGCCCGTTGATGCTGATGCTCCACGAAACTAAACAGAGTGAGCCATTTTCTTTCTTACAGTACTTCCCAGGACCAGGACCAGGACCAAACAACAACACCCTCAGCTTTGCCCCACGATGTGAAGCCAACTAGAGGGTGCACACACCAACTTCTGACGATAACTAACTAGCGCACCCCTGTTTCCGTCTTCTCCGTGCATGCTCCAGAGAATGGGGGTCTCCAAGGCCCGTGTAACAGTAGCAGTTGATGATTCTGAAGTTGTTGCCACTTCCATCCATGTCTTGCACCGAGACCGGCTCTTTTTTTACTCATCTCTAGTCACGTAATCTGATCCTGCAACTATTCCCGTCTTCAAATCCCATAAAAGAACCACAATAAATTCCAGTGACCGGCTAAGACGGGAAAAAGAGAGACGCTCTTCTAGAAAACCCAACTGCAGATTTCTAGGGTTTCCTATCCTGTCCATCGAACCAATCAACGACTCCGATTTCTCGCCTCACCCCAAGATTTCAGAAAAAAAGCCGCGGGATGACCTTGTCGATCGGAGCTCGCTCCAATGGGATAATTTACTCGCGCTTCAATTGGGCGCTTTGCTTTGCGGCAACGGATATCCTCGCACTCCGTGCTAACCGGGCCTCCCCCTGATTTACTTTTACTGCACTCTTGACGACTTGTCCCCGAATAGGTAGTTGGCTATCATGAGAATTTTCTAGCCTTATTTTTTTATGCTTTTTGTACGCGGAAAGATAAGGTTTTTGCGGCGCTATGTCAGATCGATGTGTCTAAACTGGAGGCTATTCCTGATATCGGCTTTACCGTTTGGTAGGACGGGTTGAACAAGAGGCTCTGCCAAGATAATATGTCTCATATCTTTTGCAACAAGACAAAGATAGCATTACAAAAAAGATGGCGTTTGCTAATCAGTCAGTATGTACAGTCACGTATACTGTACACGATAGTTGTCACTTGACTGAAGATCAAGTATTCAAGGCTACAATGGATCCTGTACCCCAGTCTCTAAACGCCTCGTTACCGGTACGCGGTTACGACTTACATCATTCCCAAGTTTCATGATACTTTGTTGTGACGTTGAGAGTAGTTCCCAACAACGCCAGTCGTGGAGGGCAGCGCTAGTTCTTCAAATCCCCCGCACTCAACTCCACGATGCCCTCGAGGCTGATTGGGGTACAAGAGGCCCACAGTCTAGTTTGTCCTCACCGCATGTCACTAACAACACGGCAAAAGCTTGCTTGATGGAGTTCTGGCAGGTTTCATGGGTGAATTGGCGGTTGATTTTAACTATGTGCGTCTGAGGGTAACCGCCTCTGCCGCTTGAGATTGTGCATCGCGGGGTGAAACGTAATAGCGTATGTTGTATATGAATTCTAGAACTATGAATTGGGTCACGACGATGTAAGAAAACGATGCCAAGTATCACTTCGGATGTACGTTGACTTGATAGAGCTGGTATTATAGACGCAATTACCAGAAACCCGGCTGGCAAAGTGTCACGCATACACATGCATGGTATATTGTTGTCGCCCACATATCTTTTTCTTCCTGCATTATTTCCTCTTCTCTCGTTGATCCCTCGTGGCTGGTTCTAGACTTTTGGAAATGGCTTATTGAATACCACCTTCAGCTCTTGATATACCACACCGTAGCAATTGACCCATTGACTTGAACCTCAGTTGTCATTTCCGTTCAGCCGGGCTGACTGTAGCCAGTGAGACTCGCGATAATGGCCTGATGCTCTCAAAAATCGACCTGGAATATGCAGAACCACAACTGCATGCACCAGCTCATTGGCCGTGTCTTGTCTGACATGCGACACGGGAAACAGTGGCGCCTGCTTCCAGGTTGCTGCATCAGGACCGATTTCGATACCGAGCACAGAGTCAAAAAGACCAAGGCACGCGATCATCTGCTGTCCATCATATCCATGAGTTGTTGCTCTTCATCAACCTCGGCAGTATCATTCCCACCTCCCACGCCCCTCCTTTGCAGCTCGATATCTATCGACTTTCGTGTAGGCATACCCACGCTTAGATCCGGCATATCTTCTTTGATCTTGCGAAGGTAGTTTTCCACGCTTCGCATTCCGACAACAAGGAACCCGAGCTCTTCTCGATCGACATCGAAAACCTCCCACCATTCACACTCTGGCATCTTCGCACCAACATCACGAGCCGCGTTGTATATAGCAGCTGTAGCTAGCGCATGGGGCTGGTGAGTAAGATACAGCATCTGAGGTGAGAGAAGAGCTGCATTCAGATACTGAATTGTGCGTAGAGAGATGATAGATTTAGGCTGCGCAAGAAAATCGAGCGTCTGAAGGTAAGTAACTGCAAGTGGATGAGGTAGCGAGACATGTGTGTCGAAAGAGAGGGTGTAAAGAATGCGAGCCTCAATAGCAAGGATGCGAGTCTGGAAGGCATGGTAGTCTGCTTCAGGTACATAGTACGACCTGGGGTCATTCTTTGGACTTTCTGGGGTCCGTAAGAACAATGAGCTCTCTGATAAGAGGTAGGCATAAACATTTGATATGTCGCGCGATGACCGGGGTTGAGGTCCCATCTTCGCGACTAGATAGAGAGCAGCAGCAGATGTGTCCTATGAGCACGGGTCAGTATGATCAGGTAGAATTGAGACATTTATTCGGGGTTTACTCTTACACTGAACTCATTGGCCATTGGAGAGTCGACAAGCCAATACCGCGCCAGAATGACGTTTGCCTGCGCAGTGACGGACTGAGGAAGTTCTAGGAGCTGACCAGCAGCTTGTGTCAGGCATTGTGAAGTGATAAAGATTGTATCTTGGAGATCCTTGGGTAAAGATGAGAATGAAGATTTGTGGTAGATCTGAGATGTTGTCGCAAGGGGGTTTAAAAGATGCGCCATGTTGGGTATATCAGATATCACAAGACAAACGCGATGGTGTTGATGATGGAAGGGTTGAAGTTTAGCAAGGCTGAGAAGCTCTAACTTGCTTGTGGGGACTTGGTTGAACAAATCAGCGGGCCTCTTACGTTGTGGAACAGCCAAAGATCCCTGCATTTACCACTCATGATAACCTCCATAATTCATCTTTTTGAGTTTATGTTGAAGAGCTTTGCTGGTGATTAAGACAGAGTTTCAACGATTGCATATAAGTCTGTTGCTTTCTCCTCCAATAGAGAGTCATTCTGCTGTCTGTAGAAGAGCTGAACATGAGGAGCTGAAGCCATCATGACTACTATTCTGAGTCTCATGAAGAAGCTTTGAGATAGGGAACGATGAGATATCCAAGTTTCAAATGAAGAGTTCTACCATATCACCATATGAATCTGTTTGAATTATACTCAATTTCCTGCTTAAAGGGCACAAAGCTACACCATTGTGTCGCGTGTGGCTCATCTTAGGTGAAGGATAATAACAACCAGTAAAGCATGGAAGAGCTTTGCCATATAATATTCAGCCATTGCATCGCAGCGCTATATGCAAACAACTAGGCCGATTTAGCAATCCTTTGGTCAGAGTATTCTATCATATAAAGCAATCTTGATCATATCATGATGCCTCATATTGATTGGGTGACTTACTCAGGCATAAGGTAAGGTAGGCACTTCACGTGGGGAACCTGCATTTTGACAGGCTGCGGTACGTACCGAACTGAGCTGAGCTTGAGCCGCTGTGGAGCTTCAGCAGGTTCCAAGTCAACAACACATCACCACCACCTGAAGACATCAAACGACGATATCGGAGTTCGGTTATAGTACAAAACACAACAAGCTGGCCGCTTCTTCTCACTATACACCACTTCAATAGTCCAGGCACTTTCACAATGACCGCCTCAATCCCTCCATCACCCGGCGAGGAAACACCAGCCTTCGACCTCAACCTCCAACACGGCCATAAAGATCTCGTCCAAGCCGTCGCATTCAACACCTACGGCGATCGCTGCGCGACTGGCTCAGTAGATGGCAAGATCCGCGTATTTAACCGTCACAAGGATGGCACATGGCGCCTTTGCGATATATGGACTGCACATGGCGGCGAGATTATAGAGGTAACGCATCCCCCTTTTACTAATAAACCCTCTTGTCTCGTAGTATTCTTTCCTCCTGTGCCATTCTATCGCACACGCGCGCTGACGTTATTCCCTCACTTTTGCAGATTCAATGGCTCCCTGCGACTGTTTACCCTAATTTGATCGCTTCCCTCGGTATTGAAGGGTGGTTCCGGTTATGGGCCGAGGATCCCTCTGCTGCGCCTGGTCGGCGATTTTGTACTGGACGAGCTGGTAATGGAAAGCCGGCGTTTGATACACGATCGAATAAAGCCCCCTACCGATCATTTTCAATGAAGCATAATGAGGAGACGAGGCATACATATCTTGCGCTCCTGGCGACGGACGGACGTTTAACAGTTTACGAAAACGATCAGCCCGAGAACCTCTCAGAATATGCATCTATCGACGAATTCAGCGTCGCTCCAAAACCAAATCGAGGAGAAGAACTCGCTTTTCGTGTGCGCTTCGACCCTAACCCAGAACCATGTTATACAGCTCTGCGCGCGGGCGTACCCTCGGATTCCTTAGGTCTCGTGGTGGCTGCAATGGACACCGTCAAAGTATATCGATCGCGGGATATTGTTGCGACTTCTATTGGCGTTCAACAGACCCAGAAAGAATTCTATCTTGCTGTTGAATTAACGGGTCATCGGGGTCTGGTGCGGGATGTCGCATGGGCTGCGGGCAATATTAGAGGTTACGATGTTATTGCGACAGCATGCCAGGATGGCTATGCGCGCGTTTTCCGAATCGAGACGCCATACTCGGAAGATGATGGCAAGTCGTGGTCTGCAGCCGATCTCCTTCGGTCAGCACCACACATGTCAACGAGAGACTCGACACCACAAGCAAGAACAAACGGAACTGCGACACCAACAGAAAAACAAGCTACCACGCCTCAGCTGCAACCATCACATAGTTACCATCAACATCAGCACCATACTTCCGGACTCAGCGCCAGTCTCGCTAAGTCAGGCTCTCATAATGATCGGCAATGGTCGGGGCAACCGGGCCAGGTTAAACACAATTTCCAAGAGATATCCAAGCTGGACAACCATCGTACCCCTGTGTGGCGTGTGGGCTTCGATGACGACGGTCACATATTGGGCAGCACAGGTGATGATGGGCGCCTGTTGTGTTATCGTCAGACGCCAAATGGGGCATGGGCCAAGAGCTCTGAATTGGCAGTACAGAAAGCACGAATGGCCACTCCATGAAGTCACCGTTGACAGCTGCTAGACTCAGCTCGCAGTGTCAAGACAAACAACGTTACAGATATTCAGCCGATGTGCTTTGCCGAGGCAGCCCGCTAGCTTTCCATCTCTTGGAACATGCCCCCCTGTCTGTGCTACATGCCGTTCCACCAACGTCGAGTCCAGAAATGTGAGGATCTTGTCAGACGCAGCATTGCGTGGCCACAAAGGGCAAAAGACGCCGGTCGCACGCCAGCATTGGGCAGGATATCTGAAAAGATGTGCCCCGAGGTCATTCGGATGGAGTCAGAGAACACCAGGCCCCTGGCTAGTCTTGTGGACAGTCCGCATCAAGCATACATGTCATGAGTTATCATGCAGCACGAACGATCTAGAGGACAACACGCTGAGCCAGTCGCAAACTGATTTGACAACTGATAGATACCTAAGCTCTGACATACAGCGAGCCACTTCCTCAAGAATTTGAAAGAAATTATGAAAGTATTCAGGGGCTTAGCAAATGGTCTGATACGTGTGTTATATAGCCAGCATTCGTCATAATGCAGCTTTAGACTACATTCCTTAGGTCACATTACATAGGTTCACTTAAATACTAAATGTCACATATAGCCAAGATAGAATTCACACAGTTGATTGGAGATTTGATATTATTCAAAAAATTGTATTTCCGAGTAGTCATACTATCTGATGAAGAACCAAGTGGTGGTTGTGCAACTCGCTGATTTCATGTTTAACCATTCTCTTTTGGTATTGTCCAAAGCCGTCAAAAGCTAAGTAGTCTCAAAACACAAAGAAACCCCCCAACGCCATTCATGAGTCGAATTTATGATTTCGCGTTAAAAACGTGCTGTGCTTTTATCTCTTCCTCCAGGGATGGGGGTGTGGCGCCCGCCTACAGTCCATGTTTTGACATGTGATCTGTGGCTGACTGTATCCCCACACCCTTTCAACGACATGTCTCTACTGACATGAAGATTTTTGTATCCTTCCACATTGCACATCGATCAATTATCCCTCCTCCTCTTCTCGTCGTTAGAAAAGATTGTACTGCTTAAGCAGCATCGGCGCTGGCAGCGGGCTGGACAATCTTGGTGACCTGAGAGCCAGCACGGATGATGCGCTGACCGGCAGAGTCGTTCATGTAGGTAATATCCTTGTTCTCGAACTGAGCACGCTTCCAGATCTCAACCTCGCAACCACCGCGGAGGACACCAACACGCATGGTAGACAGAAGGTTGTGGGCAGCGTTGGAGTGGAGATAGACACCACCGTTGAAGATAGCGGTAGCGTCCTTTCCGATGGCGGAGTTGATGAGGGCCTTGCCACCGGGGTGGTCCTTGATGAAGTCGGTAACGTCGTGGATAACACCGGCAATGGCAACGAGACCCTTTCCAGCCTTGGCCTGGGCAACGAAGTCGTCCCAGTCAACAACGGGGAGCTGCTCAAGGGGAATACCCCAGTCGAGTGTGGCACGCTTCTGGTCAAGCTTCTTCTGGAGCTGCTGGACACGACCCTTCTCAATCTCGTTGGCACGGAACTCCTTCAGCTCATAAGCAAGACCAAGCTGCTTCCAGCACCAGATGCTCCACTTGGTAGGATCATACTGCCACCACTCAATAGCGTTGCGGTAATCCGAAGGGAACTCGTGGTGGAAGTTGTGGTAACCCTCACCAAGGGTGACGAGAGCAGTGATGACGTGGTCACGGGGCGAGTTGCGGTCATCGAAAGGCTGATCACCGAGCCAGTGGGCAAGAGAGTTGACACAGAAGGTGGCCTGCTGAACGAAGCAAACACGGAGGATACCAGCGTAGACGAGTCCACCCCACCAGTCACCCCAGCCAAGACCAGCGACGAGAGCGGGGAAAGCGAGAGCCATGAAGAGAACGCACTTGATGTAGTTCTTGTGCTGCCAGACAACGACGGCGTCCTCGTTGAGATCGGTGATATCGGTACGGCCCTGTCGCTTAGGGTTCTGCTTGAGGATCATCCAGCCCATGTGGGAATACATGAGACCCTTGCGAACGGAGTAGGGGTCCTTGTCGGTATCGGTATAACGGTGGTGAACACGATGACCATATGACCACCATCGGATGGAACCCTGAACGGCGCCAGCACCGACAGCAGCGAGATAGATCTTGAGAGGGGTAGTGCCCTTGTAGGCAGAGTGGGACCAAAGTCGGTGGTAACCTGGTATTGTAAGTAATTGATCGATGGTATCCAGGTTTTGGAAACAGTGCTTCATTGGGTGTTGACTTACCAGCAGTGATGCCGAGACCAGTGTGAACATAGTAGAAGACAGCCCAAAGGGCAGTCTTGAGCTGGAGAGGAACCCAATAGGCGGAGATGAAGCCGGCCAAGGGAACGAAGATAACCAACGTGGTGTTGAGCCAGTTGATGTGCTGAGGCCAGTTGCTCCAGGTCATGGGAGTATCGGCAATATGGACCTTATTGGTATCCTTCTTGGCACCGCCAGCGCGGAGAGGAACATAGTCCTTGGTGCCATCAGGGAATGGCTGGGCATTCTTGCCCGCAGCAGTAGCTGTCGCCATATCGATTGAGTTGTCGATTATAGGTTGGCGATGGCAAGTGTCTGTCGTCGACTCGAAGATATAGGAACCCAACACAGAGAACCACCAAGTTGATAGTTACTCGGATAAGTGAAGGGAAAACTGAACCTTTTTAGGATGAAGAGTATCCTAAACAAAGGGTGAAGGGTTTATAAGAGGGGAAAGGAACTGGAGGAGGTTGGTCGAGAAGTAGTTCTGGTTGGGGCGGAGGGCTCTAAAAGGACTTTATACTATCAGAGACAGACCCGAGCCGGAGCTGGGCGCAGGAAAGAATCGATTGAATTGGATGAGGACGAGGAAGCGGTAGAGACTGGGGAGGGGGGGTGTAGTGGGCTTGGGAGGCGTGAGACCAGTGGAGGGTTGCAAGTGGAGGGTCCTAGTCTCAGGCCTTGTCCGGGCTGTTCTGCCTCCTTCTCAGCGGCGACAGAGACACCGAACAGCGCTTCTTCAGTGAGGGGGCAAAGAAAAATACAGGGCCTGAGTGGGACCTCCGATTGACAATTAACCCTTGTTGTGGCGGCGAATTCAAGGTTGGGGAAGTAAAACGAAGCCGTTTTGGTCATCAAGAGCTGGGGTTTGTGTGAATCGACTTCTCAAGCGAGGAGGTGGAGGCAAATGAAGACGATGGCATATGCCGATACAGAATCAGATGATGAATGACAACGAGGCCAGGTAAGCTCTTCCTTTCGACCAGAATTGCGTGTCAGTTTTGAGTTGGGGAAGCTCAAGACAAAGTTGGGGCAAGCTTGTATTCTGTTGACGTCTGACTGATAGGCCTTTACGATCGTGTCTAAGTCGTCATGACGCTTCGAACCTCGGCGATCTGAGATATTCTTTGCTTGTGAAGATTGATGAGGATGAAGCAAATGGAATGCTACTATCCTTTCAGACAGGCCTATGCTATCTGTGGTTGTATCGAGTTGTGAGTGAGGTTGAATCTGGCGTATTATGTCACACACGCCTGCCGTCTCCCCATCAAAGGGGAAAAAATCCATTGGGGCGGGCGGACCAAGAAAAGGCAACAGCAGCTCCCGTCGCTTCCCGGCAACCTAACCCTCTTGATCAACGGAGGCGCTTATACATCATGAATTCAGGGACTTGTCTGTACAGTACAGTGCTGAACCCTTCGCTGATATGGACAATCGTGAATTCGACCATTATCAGGAGTTTTGATATTGGGTTAAGCGAGTTGCAGGACTTGTTGGAGGTAGTTGAGCATGTTGACGTTTCAATTGGCTGAAACTGATACCAATTGGTCGTGTCATTGTCTTCTAGAAGTCAAAACTGAACCTGTCACAACTAACAGCTGCTGTAAGTGATTCACATCAACCTTTGACAAGCACTGTAATTCAGATGACCATACCTCCAACAACTTACGATGTATATCTCATCTAACTCCCCGCTCTCCATCTCGAGTTACCGAGATCTTCCTTATGCCCTGTCAGTTAGACGAAGCAATGATGCCAGTAATCAGCCCACGATAGCTAAGGTAGCGTACAATGAATAGGCGATTCATTGTGTTGAAATTCTATCGGCCTTTCTCCGCAAATACAAGATCAACTGGGCGACGTCTGCTCGGACAGATACTGGGTCTTGTAGCTGGGACGAAAGGTCGACGTCGACCTGATCGCTCCTTCCCTCAACCTTTTTTGCTTCCCCAACAACTTTTTGGCGGCTCCAATCAAGTGTGGGGCTCGGCTGGGCGCCCGGGTATCGTTTGGGTACCCCTGCTACTGACCAAGTACCTCGTCACTCATTTTTGAGTTTGAGAGTACTTCTATTTCGAGGGACGGCACATCTACATCTAGCCCTGCAAGAGGCAACGCGCCAGTGCATGTCTTCCATGCAGGGGAGCTCACACGAAAAACCCGGAGCCGCCTGAGCTTCGAGACTGAGACTGGATCTAAGTCAAGCCTCAAGAAAAAAAAAAAAGGAAAAAAAAAAAAAAAAAAAGGAAAAAAAAAAAAAAACCAGAGGAAAATATGCTGAGTCCACATCTCCACTGATTTGTTAGAGGCGATGCTATTTGCCGAAGTCGATTGTGGGATCTCGCATGGCATGATTGAAAAAGCCCCGATCTATTGGAGGTCATCGATATCCAAGGCGTTTTGTTGGTAGATGGACTTTTAGACGTTGATGACGATGAGGTTGGACAGTATCACAAACGGAACGATGCAGGCCAAGACAGGCACACGAAATTCTGTTGCATTGACAGTTGAAGTGGCGAATTGATCCCAATTGAGCTGTCGATATGTAAATCACTTCAATTCTGGTTGAGCACCGTTTGAGAACCGGGCATACCGAGGCTCGTTCCCGTCTGCTTTGACGTAGGCACACACACTCTCACTCGCAGTCACACGCTTATCTCAAAGATCTAGCATCAGTCAGTGCCAGTCAATGCACAGTTCTCACTGTACAGTGCATGCCTCGGATTGATACCCTCAAATCTTGATAGGGATCCTTGGCCAACCTCACCTCACATTTTGATATCGTAACTACAATGTCCGCCAAATCCCGAGTTATCATGCCATGTGCTCGAGCTATAGGGGTCTAATTGAGAACGTCATATGATTCTCATTCCGAGATTCATCAGATTGTGATTATTGTCAATTGTTGAATCCCAATGCAAAGAACAGCAAAATGGACCTTCAACATATCAGCCCTATCGCGACTTCAGGGTTCGTTCCTAATCCCAATACAACCTCTCTTCCCCCAGATCGAACGATACCTCGGCCCATTTAGCTGTTTACTGACATGACTTGTCCATTTGAGGGGTCTCGGTTTCTAGACTCTCTCGGTTACTCTTTTACCGTGCTCCGAGTCCGAATGGAATGGTTGTCGATTCCATTCAGAGTCAGTCCCGTTCTCCCGAGCTCCAGCTGCCCTGAGCAGGGATAGTACGTACCTTTTATACCCCTGGTTCATTCTCCCCAGTTTCCCCAACAGAAACACAAAGATCGGGATTCGCCAAGCTTAAGCGGCTCCACATTCGCCTCCAAATTCAAAGTTGCAGTTCAATGTTGGCCTTATTTCTCCGTTATCATCAATCAAAATTCAGGCAGAGGAAAATTCGACCCTCGACCCCCACAGTCATTCGTCCATCACAGATCATCTCACGTGATGTTAAACGTCAAGTTTGTTGATGGGTTCTAGAACAATTCTAAAGCTATATGCAAAACAACATACTCCTTGCAGCATAGCCCATTTATCGTACCGATTTCATACAGCGCCCTATACCTGGGTTTTCCTCCCAGGCCTCACGATGTTATCCTAAGCCTTATGATAATTCTCGTCAAATTTTCGATAAGACTCCTAAAGATTAGGATAAGATGTTTCATAGCTCATTTGTCCAGATGCGCTTTTCAAGCTGCAGCATCTTCATAAACTATACAACGAGATTGTCGCGTAGCTGGTAAGCTATTAGTAGCGCAGTCTTCTTTATTGCTACGGTCTCGATACTTCGGCATCAATGGCAGCATTAAGAAGAGAGCCATTTGTTCAGTTCCCGCTTGTTGAACTTGACCTTTTTGACAGGATGGTTTGGACAAATGGCCTGGTACTTCTCGCGCCAGGTTTCATGTGCAGATTCGAGATGAGAGATCACTTTCGTATCATCAGTGCGTTTAGCAATATTCATGAACTCTTCCATGATAGGTGGTGACCCCGGTTCATGGCCATCGACCTTGATTGCAGCGTCCATCTATCACTACCCATTGAAAGTGGCTTCGTCCATTGCGCGATACTGGGGCTAACCAGTCAGGGTCCCGTAGTTCTGGGCGGTGTTCATGTATGACATGACGATCTATGTCTCTCATCCACCGATTGTAATCTGATAGCTTGTCAGATGCTGCCTTGATGCAGTTTTTTCAGTAACTGTAGTATTGATGTCTTATAGAGACTCTGGTTGAGTCCCAGGTAGAAGGAGGGCTTCTAGCCTCTCGTTATTCTCTCTATAGAAGTCTGCTGAAGTATAGCTGATATGTGTAGTGACCGGCGCAGTGCGCTGGCGAGGTTCTAGAGTCGTTGCTACAGGAGGTTGAAGCATATAAGCCGCCAGGTTGCGTTCCCGACTTGCAATCGTGGTGAGCCCTGGGATCAAGCAGTTGGGTCGAACCCCAACGCAAATGGCTCTAGTAGTTGTGTTTTCTGCAAAAAGGCTAATGGCATGACCTGTATATTGGAAGACCGACTCCGAGCTTAGTGTTATAATGCTAGTAGAGCGTAAATCATCGCCGATGCGTCTGATGACTCGCAGTGCAATAACTGCAAGCGCAGCACGTGTAGACCACGTTCATAAGGCTTCAGGGAATGTTGCATCATTTGTTGAGATCTCGCGAAGGGTGTTAGTAGCATCTCTACTTACCCCCAGCTCGACCACTCCGTGGCGTAGGTAATCCGCGTGGTCTTCATCTTTGCGATAGCTGCTGCGATGCAGCGTCGGTGAATTGGATCCTCTAGATCGCATCGCACAAGCGGAAACATGTATATACCAGCTTCTCCTAGAAGCTGGAGTTTAGATCATCTGAAGGTGTTGTGATGACCTCATTTCAGAGCTCATTAATAGCCTCACCCTCAGTATCGACAGGCTCTGCTTCAATGAGCTTGCGCGGTATGTCCTCTCGGAGAAGCTGGTCTACTGTTTCGCGTAGTGCATATAGTGCACGTCTATACCGGGCAGGGCTCGGACTGATCAGTAGAACGGCGTGCCCATGTCCCGCGGGGCGAACGTTCTATTCTCATCTCCTAACCTCATGTAAAGATTTAGAGGGCACGATCTTAAGCTTTAGGATAAGAAGTCGAAACTTAGACTTAGATCCTCTAACGTCACCCTATTTTAGAGGATACTATCACAAGACTTCTGATGGCAAGCTCAAAGCTTAGGTTTTCTGTTGACCTCATTCTGGTTATCGATATTGGCTACGCAAACTGTGCGGTTGCTCTCTCAAATTTCGGTTGTACGAAACGGCGGCATGAGATTGTGCATGATGCGAACGCACTTGCGATGCCTGTTCAGGTATTGCTTATCTTGCTGTGTTGTAAACCCTTGGTATGAGGTGAAGTTGTTTGAGAAGCCCTCATACCAAAGAGCAGGTTCTCAGTTGATTATACTGGATATTGCGATGAACTAGAGATCTTGGGCAATTTCTATAACAGAACCGAATGTAAGAAGTGGCTCCGACGAGCGAAACTACACAATCACCACATTCTGAGCCAGCTTTTGAAACCATCCTCTATGGTCACCGGGCTACAAGTGGTAGCAAGCCAGTTGTACTTTCTCACGATAGCGATCACGACCGAGGTGGTGCTGCAGCCTCGGTGATATGTTTGTGCAGGTGACATTTCAGGGCGCCTCGTCAGCTTGAAGCTTGACTTGTCAACTAGGTCGCAGCGAAAGATGTAGCAATGCATGCGAGGTCGCTGACGTGTCGAACACCGAGGTGAACTAGATCTTCAGTCTAACCTTTTTTTCTCGTTCCAGACTCGACGTAGCAGGCGGAGAGCAACAAAGTAGAGACACAAGACAACAGAACCTGTCAAGGCGCCACCCGCAGAGCAAGCATCTCAGAGGTCAATGATCTCTGGTTCCTTCTTGGTGTTGGCTCTGCCCCAGTCGGAGAAGGTCTCGTCGTGGAGGATATGAGTCAATTTGAATTCCTGGATTAGCTTGTGTAGCAGGCACGCGTTTTTGATATCTTCGCAAACCCCTCGCACAAGACGATAGCACACATGGATAACTCGAATACAGCATTCCTACGGAACGTCCGCCGTATTGGGCTGTTTGTGTCGATAACTCGGAGGTCCTCGAAATCGAGAATCTGTCTCTCTCTGGTCGGTTGTAGCCGGATATCACTTCTCATGACATGATTGGTGTCTGAAGCATGCTTACGGCTCCTCGCGGGTGATTAAGTGGTTAGGCGGACTTTTGAGAGCGTGCCTTTCGTTTCGGCGACTGTGGAGGAGAACGAGTGTACGTAAAGAACAGTAGAGTTGTGAGAAAATGAAGTTGGGGGATGAGACCGGAAAGATTAGTATAGAAAGAATATGCTTAGAAAAGCTAAACAGAAATCGATTATTATGCTATGCACACGTAGGAAGGTAATTGTACCAGAACTGAGTATAGATTTCGATCAACAGTATTTATATTTGCGCCCTATTATGCAAAATGCCTGCCTATATCCCGCTAAAAACATATGAAATAAACATAGTAAAGTATAGCATAGTCGATACAAATGGATTCAAACTCAACCTTCATCAAACCATGTCGTTCATAGACATTCATTAGAGTCCGGACGGACAGTTCGCGCCCTTGGACACGTCGTCAGTCATATTCTCTTCTTTCGTCGGTTCGTCGTGAGTCAATAAGTGTGAGATCTGAATCTCCGGTACAGATTTAGTGCCTTCGACACCCCCCTCGGTCACCTTTCCATTCTCTCGGTTGTCTGCTTTCCCTGCTATCATCTCTTTCTCCTTTGTAGCTTGATCGGTTCCAGGTACTGTGGACCCTTGCTTTTCTGCCGCGTTTTGTTCCGCATCCAGTTCTGCTTT